AATGTTGGCATACTGTAAAGAATATGAACAAACTTCAGCTATACAAAGGTTCAGTCAGTAAATTTTGTAAACAAACTCTTACTACATAAATGAAAAAATTCTAACTTAATCCAGTCATTCGCTCCGTTAAATTGCATATTTTCCATAATAGATATTTTCTGGAATTTTCCCTGATAGATATTTTTTGGAATTTTCCATAATCAATATTTTTGGAATTTTTCTTCTCAGTCTCCTTCATATTTTTCAATCTCCTTAAATCGGAAATGTTTGAGAAAAACCGAAATATTTTTATAATATAGAACTATATTGATATTGTAAATATGCTGGAAATTAACTCATCATACAAATCAACTTTTATTGGAAGAAATTTTCTCTGGGAATGTCGAAATATTGTAAAGATTTCATTCTATCTCGGGAACCCGAACTCTAAATTATATTAATCTATAATATTTAAATCCTTTTACCTTGCTATTCTTCCACATTAATTGTCATATATATAGCAATAAATGAAATACCATCTGAACTTTGTTTTCTAAATCTTCAATTACATCTGTTTTCCTCATTAGACATTGTCAACTCCAATCTTCTGTCTGCTATATAAGGACTTGTATCACCATCCGACATATTGCATTAATCTTTCCATAGACATTATTTTGTCCATCTCAGACATTTTCGTTTCACTTATAAAATGGCTTACATCATCCAATGCTTTGTTTTGTTTCGTCCTATTGATTATCATAATAAGTTATTTTGTTAATTGTAATAATCACTCGACTGAATTCGCTGCTTGCGATTGTTAAGTAAAAAATTCTAATCTTACAATAATATTTCTCTTATCTACCAGTCATATTTTCGATTTAATTTTCATTTCTCCCCTTATACTACATCCTTTTAATTGTGTGCTTTGCTGATTAGATTGTATGTTTAGAATATTGTCTTCATTTATCACCTTTATCACAAATTTTCATCTGTTTCACTCAACAAAAAAAGACTTCATTTCGATAAAAAAATTTTCACAACAAATTTTTGGCATCAGGAACCGAGGTATTTGCTATTATAATAAGGAGTGCGAACCAGCGAAAGGGAGACTGTCAAAGAAATGGAATTTGTGTTCATGAGATCAACAGCTATCAAAGGTATCAAGATAAGAATATATATTCGAACTATATATGAACTTATTTATTGCCAATTTCGAATCAATCAACAAAAAAAAATTAGTATATATTCGGGAATATACAACTGCGCGGAAAAAGAAGACTGTCGCCGATTTTCTTCAACCGTGACAGAAACTGAGGATTCTTTCTGCCACTTTAGTTGGTAATACCTCAAACTTGGGTAATTAAACCTTTATTACGATAAATTTATTAATACAATAACGAACTTGCAATTACGACATCGATATAACAAATTTATAACGAAAACACTACGAACAAAAAAGACAAAATTACGGCCGATACCTTATATCCAACCGACCTCAATGAAACACATTTGTAAAAATGGATTAGTGCTCAGGACCCGCCGCTTCTTTGATTGAGAGGATCTTGTACCGTTTTATGATTACAAGAATTAGCTTCCTTATGGAGCACCCATTGGTATAGGGTCTTTTATTAGCGCAAACGTAAGACGATATGAGCATATAAAACAAAGATGTCTGGCTTTCAAAAAGGGGCATTACTGTCCCTTTGTTTCTACTCGCGATGTCCGCGACAAAGACAAACATAAGGAGATAACGATAGGGATGATTAAGATATTTTTAATTTAATAAATGATGGTAAAAAGCTATTATCATATAAAAGAAGAATGATATCAGGCTAGTTCTTCATTGCCTAAACTAAGAATATGTTAATTAAAAACCAACCCATCAACAACAATCATTTCAATGAACTTTTTAGATAGCACTAAATTTACATCAACTACCATTGCCAACGTACAGTGGTGTACCTCCAAAAAACTGGTAGGAAGTACTCTAATGCTGCAATGAATCTTTCGAAGAATACTAGATAGATATTCAATCGCTCTTCCATCAAGAGAAATGAGCGAAGATGGAAGATAGCTGTCGAAACGTTAGAAGCATCTAGAACAGTCTAGGATCTAAATAATTATTGGAAGTAAATTGCCGGTTTGGATATTATATCGAATATACCAAAACAAAGGAAAAAGGAAAAAAAAATAATAAAATAAGAACTGTAGCCGGTCACTAACTTTGACAATTCCTGAAAAAAAAGCTAATCATATGAAACGAAAGAGTGATTGGAAGTCAAATCTTTAGTAATGAGTAAAGAAGTCAGCGAAGTCTAAGTTCAACCGATCAAACCAGGAACTCAGCGAAGTCTAAGTTAAACCGATCAAACCAGGAACTTAGCGGAGTTTAAGTTAAACCGATCAAACCAGGAACTCAGCGGAGTTTGAGTTAAACCGATCAAACCAATTTTCACATAGCGTTAATGGCGGAAATTCTATGTTAGCTGCAATCAAGCATTTCAAAATAAATGCTCCTTATTCGATTATAAAATAAAAATAAAAATAAAAAAAAAAACAAAATGCAACAAGAAAAGGTCTCTTCTACCTTTTGTAATAAGAATCGTTAGGATTCATTCTGTCACTCTTATCCCACTGTCAAACAACTAATGGGACATTTGAGAGAGAAAGATGCTTGCATTAACTATTGTTGAACAGTACGTACGATAACTAACTGCGGAAAGAAAAGAAAACATTTTTTTGCAAAGATCCTCATAGAATAATACTGTGCTATGTTATATCAAAATGTTGTAGACAACTGGACCTATCAATGAAAAAATGGATTTAACAATTATAGTTCAGTAAATGTATGAAAGAATCCATGAGATAAACTTCTTAATACTAAGAGGAAACTAATGATGTCGGCGAAGAAGTTCCATGATAGAGAAAAATACAAACATTCATAAATTGGTATTGTGATGTACTAATTTGTCTGTATTAAGATATAATTAACTTATATTGTGAAGGATTTCCGGTTAATGTCGACAAAAAGATTTCGGGATTTTGTGATTGACCTGTAAAGGATTTCGGGTTAACTATTGATCAAACGATTCTAACTTCTCTAAGTAGTGTTAATAAAATCCCACTAAATAAGAATATATAAACCAAACATACAACAAGATAACATCCATCCCTTTTTTTTTTTATTTCCCAGATTAATATCATTGATATTTATCTTATGATGATGTTTTGAAGCTTAGTTTTATGCATTAATTTGTCTTTTATAATGCTTCATAATTATGAGATACTAATATTGTTTCTTTTCTCTAAGGTTTAATTATCCAAGTATGAGAAGGAGAGAAAACTAAAAAAGTCGAAAAGACCAAAAAAGTAAAGAGGTAAAATTACTTTTAACCCTCTTAACATTTTCAAAGGAAATCGTTGACATCGTCCAATTGTGTCAACTCGTTGACACCGTCCAAAGGTTATTATAAATATTAGCAATATCCGGTTTTTTATGATAATTTGGTTGTTTTATATTTATTAAATTTCAATCTATAATAACCGTTCAGATTTTTATTGCTAGCAAATTTTTGCATAATTAAATGTCTCATTTTACATTAGTAAATTTATATCTTAGCATTATTTTTTAACAGATGGATTATTGTTTTTCCTGATTAAAAAAAATCGATGTTTTAATTTGATCATTCCATCTCATCCTTTCTAACAAATTTACTGACAGAAGCATCAGAGGAGTGCTAAGGTTATGATATGGTATTGCAGAAATGAGCTTCTT